AGCTCTTGAGTGGCATTCTGCAGCTCGATGCCCTTCTCTCCCGCATTTAAAACACCCCACGGGCTTCTTGGCCGTGGCCAATGGTTTCACTGGTTCGTGTGTCAACTCAGGCGGTGAGCGGCTCCATTGTTTTCCTCTGCGGTGTCTCCTCAGTATGTCGATCTCTGCTTCCTCTGCCAAGACATACCATTCCTCAAGTTGGTGTGGGTCTCCTCGGGGCAGGCAAGCATCATATAGGTCATAATTGAGTCCGTCTTTGAAATGGCTAAGGAGGATATCTTCTGGCCAGTTCAGTTTGCTGGCAATGGCCTGGAATTCTTGCGTATATTCGGCTACCGTGCGTTTGCCTTGCCTCATTGTTTTTATCCTTTCGCGGGCTTTGTGATCAGCCAGGGGGTCCTCAAATCGTCTTCTCAGAGAGGACATAAAACGGTTGAAGTCATTGAGCTCTGGGGCATTGGAGTCGTGTAAGTTCACCACCCAATCTGCGGCCGGCCCGTCTAAGGCAGATTGCATGAGTCGGATACGGGCTTTGTCGCTGGGGATGTCCTGCCCGTATTCCTCCATGTAGCTGAGGACTTGGGTTAGAAAAAACCCCAAGCGTGTTGGTTCCCCTTTGAATTTCACCTCCAGCGGCGGACGTCTTTGGATGGATCGGTGCCTTCGTTCTCGGTGGTAGTCTCTTCCATTCAAATTGCCATCCGTGGTTCGGCTAGGGGTGGGGACTACTGGATCAGCAGATGTCCCCAGGGCTGCAGGTTCCACTTCCCCTCCGGTGTCTCTCCCTTTGCGGCTCCAGGAGCTGGGGCGTGTGTAGAACTCAGGATTCTCCTCTCCTAGGGAGCTGAGAGTTCGCTTCATTAGGTCGATTGCTTTCTCTAGGATCCAGTCTGAGTACGGTGCCCAGCTCCCCTCCTCTTCACTTGCGTGTAGGGATTTCTCCATCTCCTGTTTCCATTCTGGTTGTTTGGGGCCCCGTCTCAGGGTCACCTTTCTTGATTTCTTTCCCCAC